ATCAACTTTAAAATTCAAAAGACAGTTAAAATAGTAAAATCGAATAAATCATCTATATGTACATAAAAAAATTGCAAGTTGTAGTTTTAATATGTATGCAATTTATAAATTGTTCAAAATACAAACAATTAGAAACTCATATAAACCAACAAATAATATCTATATTACCTTAAAAGCATGAACTCCTAACTTTAATGTTAAGTTATTATAATATCCCTAACTTAGGTTATGATTTTTTCGATGAGTTGTGACTTTTCTGATAGGTTGTGACTTTTTTCAAAGGGTTGTGATTTTTCCAAAGAGTTGTGACTTTTTCAAAGAGATGTAACTTTTCCAAAGAGTTGTGGCTTTTACAATAAGTTGTGACTTTTCGGAAAGGTCATGACTCTTCAGATAAGACACAAAAAAAAACACTTGTTCATACTACCCTTTGTTGACTATAAATAGAAAGGTTTCCTCTCATTTTTCAACCACAATTTTTTTAAAATCTTCTACTCTTCTTATTCTTGCATTTTAAATTTTTTGTGTGATTTATTGTCGTTAAGTGAGTTCGAAGTTTAGCATAATATGAGGTACCATTATTCTAATGAAGTAAATTGTCCTATCCTAAGATGGTATATTCCTTAACCTTGAGTACTTGAAGACAGAGGCGAATCCAGGATTTCAAGAAAACGGGTGCACCATTGCTTTAGAACTTCGTTTTTTTTTTGAAAACACGAGTGTTATTAGTTACTAAAAAAAATTGAAGTGAATTGTGGCTGGCTGGGATTGAACTCAGGACCTTGGTGTTAAAATTTGGCTGTCAAACCAGTGAACCATCCAGCAACTTTAAGAACGGGTTCAACAAGTGTTTATTTAATATGTTCTTTAATAATTATACAAGTAATATATCGAGTTTAGTCGGAGGACCACGGGTTCGGGTGACCCAAATTTTACACATAAATTCGCCACTGCTTGAAGAAACTAATTCTGATGATATATGCTTCTGAATATCTTTTTCAAAAATTATTAAACTTCTCAAGAGTTAGAGAATTGTCACAATTTGTTTTTTGATGCTCAAGACAAAAGAATGACTTTATTTATTAATGCTACTTATGTGATTTAAATTGTCAGAAAGTTTGTTTCAAAATAGTTATTACATTATAAATATTGCTCTTTTTTTTTACTGATTTACTATTTGTTAATACTTAAATATTTTCGAAGAAGAAAAGTTTATATGACTTGTAATAACGTCAGTTGAAGTTTGTATTAGTTTGATTTTTATTGTAGTCAAAATTCATTTTTTTAATTAACAGCTTCTGTTGTGATGTAGATATATGCTTCTGAATATCTTTTTCCAAAATTATTAAACTTCTCAAGAGTTAAAGAATTGTCACGATTTGTTTTATAATTCCCAAGACAAATGAATGACTTTATTTATCAATGGTACTTATGTGATTTAGATCATCATGAAGTTTCCTTTAAAATAGTTATTACAATATAAACATCGCCCTTTTGTTTTATTGATTTACTATTTCTTAATATTCCAGTATTTTCGACGAAGAAAAGTTCATATGACTTGTAATAACGTCAGTTAAAGTTTCTATTAGTTTAATTTTTATTGTAGTCTAAATTCATTTGTTTTTGTTAACAATTTCTCTTGTGATGCAGATATATGTTTCTGAATATCTTTTTCAAAAATTACTAAAGTTCTCAGGAGATAGAATTGTCACGGTTTGTTTTTTTATGCTCAAGACAAAAGAATGACTTATTTATCATAAAATTTATTAGAAATTCATCTGCTGCACATTAATTCTTTAGTTATAACATTATAAAATCTCTTAGTTATTACTAATTATTGCAAATGGTATTCACACTCTTTTACATTCTTTAGTTATAATATTATGAATTCTCATAGTTATTACATTAATTATTTCTATCTTTCATCTTTCCTTATATTAACTTTTGACCAATAATTTTTCACATTATTATACTGCCCCTATATACGTGATAACACGGTGTTGTTTTTTTTCTTTGGACGAATCATGCTTGGTTGAATAAATTGAAAACTGTTTACAAGTATATGAACTATATATTTGTTGGATGTAAGATAAACAAGTGATTATATGAGTTAATATCTCATATGGTCACTCAACTTTCAATAGTTCACTTAGAAAGTCACTCAACTTTGAGTTGTTCCCTTCGAAAGTCACTCAACTTTGTTTTATAACTCAAAAGTCACTCAACTATTAATAGTTTTCTTAAAAAGTCACGTAACTATTGATATTTTACTTAAAAAGTCATCCAACTAATTTAAATTAATTTTTCATTAAATTTTGTAAAATACAAAAAAAATTAACTATTTAAAAATAATAATAATAATAAGATGCTTATTTTAATTTATTAAATTTTTTGAAGTATAATTTTTCTTTTAAAACAAATGGTACTGTGGTGCGTCTTTATTTTTTATTGTACTTCTTATCAATTCCAACTTCTTCTTCTTTTTTGGATCATTTTTTAACATATTTAATTCCAGTTATATAATTGATTAAACGGAAAATTTTTTTGGGTCAATTGCTATGGTACGTTTTCCAAAAAAATTATAATTAAATAATTTGGATTAACAAAATAATTAAAATAAATATCTTATTATTTCCTTAAAAAAGTAGTTTAACATAAAAAATAAATTGCAATAAAATTTTATGAAAAAATGTATTTAAATTGATTGAGTGACTTTCTAAGTGAAATATCAATAGTTGAGTGACTTTCTAAGTGAAACATCAATAGTTGAGTGACTTTTGAGTTATAAAACAAAGTTGAGTGACTTTCTAAAAGAACAACTCAAAGTTGAGTGACTTTCTAAGAGAACAATTCAAAGTTGAGTGACCATCTAAGATATTAACTCGTGATTATATATATGATTTCATAGATAGAATATATTCTTTAATTTTTATTTTTAGTTTTTCGGTAAAAATAAATAAAAGGAAACCTTTCTCAGTTAACTATAGACAGTATACAAAAATAGTTCTAAAAAAAATAAAATATAGTTGTTCTCCACATGTTCATATGACATCTAAACAGATTAAGTGGAATACACGTGCAAAGCACATCTGGTTAGATGACAAGAAAAATACACAACAAATATCGTCTATAAGGTAATATTAGAGAGATACGACTAATTATATGATTGAACATCAACAAATTGAAATAAATATACACATTATTGCATTTAACTAAAAAAAATAATTTGACCATCTTCATAGGTTCCTGTGAATTAGAGATATTTATGACAATCCACATTGAATATTCACAAAAGAATTTGCAATATTATTTTGTGCAAAACTTATTATTCAAATTTTCGCTTAAATTTTCTAAATTGATAATCACATGCAACGCACGTGTCGAAAAACTAGTATTCAATTAAGATCACAAACGTCATGTGTGATATATTTGCCTTTTCAATTAGTAAATGTTAAACAACTCACATTTTAAATATTGTATTGATATGTATTGACATTTATTTATTAACAAACAACTCTCTCTAAATAATAAAATTTGTAAGCTAATTTATTAAAATAAATTTACTAGTACAAATATAAAACATAAAATCAAGAAAATAAATAAAATGATTTGAGGAATATTTTTGTCTTTACATAGATAACCCCAAGGTATTAAATCCAATGTATTACTAATAAGTTATGCTGGATAAGTAATGATGGGATAAGTTATGCTGGGATTAGTTATATTGGGATAAGTTATACTGAGATTTGTTTTTATTGCTTGTTTGATTTGTTGTATTATAACTAATAAATATTATATACTTTCTAAGAATTAGTTATTTGTTTATAAAAATACCCTCCATCTTATTTACCTTTTTATATGTATTTTTTTTATAGAGGTTTAGTTATTTACACCTAAAAATAAAACCAAATGAATCTCAATTATTGATAACTTTACGATCTACAAGAATTAATGTTGGAACAATCTATTGACGCCAGTGGGAAGCCTCTCTTCTTTACTGTAATAAGCAAAAAAAATTAGACAAAATTAAATGAATCAAAACTGGAGCCAAAACTACACCAATACAATAACCATAACTGGATTGAAATTTGATAAAATTTCTCGTTGCAAAAATAATTTTTTACCAATTGCAATGAGAAACAAAAGTTTCTAAAAAATTTCTTTTTGATTGTTAAAAAAGGACGCAAGCAATTGAATAATTTTATGAAACTAAAATTATAGATTTATTTGAAATTTATTAAAATCCATCTGATGAGCAGCAAAAATTTTAAGACTTTACAAATATGGTATAAAGATATGAAAAGTTTTAATAAAATAGATTTCAAGGATATTTTTGTCATTTTAATTGTTTTATCCCAGGATAAGTTATCCTGGGATTGTTATTCCACCAAGAGGTAGGGATAACTTATCCCAGTACTATCTATTAATCATGGGATAAGTTATCCCATACTTTGTAACCAAACAAGAAATAAAGAGGCACTAAAAAGTTATCCCATGACTATTTTCATTTATCCATTACACCAAACGACCCCAAAAGGTATTAGTAATACCTCCTATAGTACCATGTAGGGTGTATAACTAATCCATGGATTAGTTATACTTAGGCCCAAAAATTCTACCAAACATAGTACTAAATAATACCATACATAATACATGAATTATTTCTCTTAATACCTCCTACCAAACGATCCCTAAGGACTATATAGATTCTGTGAAATATATTAAGGACCAAAATAAAGTACTCCTTATATATTAAGGACTTATTTGGTCATTTTCCCTAATTTTGTCCATCATAGCTTAGGCAGATAGGAAGAAATCCCTAACTTTGTACTCTGCTTTCCCATGATTTATACCCACCAACATAAATTAATAAATTAATAGACTGAAAGCAAAAGGAAAAACAAAGAAGAAAAAGCAGTGGTTGAACATGCACTGCACTTTGATAAAGAAAATTCTAAAAAAAAAAAGCAAGATCTTTTTTGCTTATTTCTGATGACCAATAGCTGACTCATGAAACAGTTATCATCAACTTATATATATAGTGCTACAAGCATTGTTCTTAAAACCATCAACCAAAACATAATAATATCTCAGTTATCTTAACAATATAGCAATCCTCTTCAAGATCAGAAGTCACAATGAAGGACTTAATCAGTGGAAATGTGGTGGGTGTTCCCATGAGTTCAGCAGTATGTTCATTTGAAAGGCAGCCTAAAAGACTACTATCCCTATCTTCTTGCCAAGACCATATTCCATCTGCAACATCAAAGATCTTATCTAAATTAAAGCAACGTGAGTATTTTTCCCGTCTCTTGATGAATAATCAACTCGATACTGTAGTAGTTCTAAAGAGTATTACTTAATGACCCTTGAAAAGAAAAGATCATTAAGATTGAAAATTGAGTAAAGAAGCACTAATTACATGTATATACAATACAAAGTATTGATTCTAATGTCATTAACGTCGCCACTTCTAATTATGCAGTGAGCCTAAGCCCGAAGCTAACAGAAACTGTGAAGGGGAAATTGAGCCTTGGAGCAAAAATTCTTCGAGTAGGAGGGTTGGAGAAGATATTCAAGCAGAAGTTTAGTGTTAGAGATGATGAAAAGCTATTGAAGGTTTCTCAATGCTATTTATCAACTACAGCTGGGCCAATAGCAGGCCTTCTCTTCATCTCTACTGATAAGATTGCTTTCTGCAGTAAGAGATCAATAAAGCTCTCATCTCCAACCGGGAAGTCACTTAGAATCCGATATAAGGTATCGATCCCAATAAGTAAGATCAATAAAGCAAAAGAGTGTGAAAATATGGAGAAGCCATCACAGAAGTATGTACAGTTAGTTACAGAGGACGATTATGAGTTCTGGTTTATGGGGTTCTTTAATAATAAAAAAACTCTAAGATATCTGCAGCAGGCAATTTCAACTTTCAAGAACTTCAATCAGCTAAGAAGATAAACTTTTTTTTTTATTTTGTTTCCTAATACACCCATTCATCAATGTAAAATGTTGATGCAAAAAACAAATTTGCAGATCTGTTCAAACTTGTAACTAGCTCCATTGCTCAAAGGAGGTTTTAGATTTTTTAGGCTTTAAGCCTTAGTTGTTAATACGAATGTATAGACTTATTGTAAAACTAATGCAAACAGGAGGCTAATTCATCTTTTGGACTATCCAGCCATTTTCATGACATCGACAGTGAGTCTTGATTCATATCCCCATAGCATAATCACACTGCCCATAGGCTATATAGAGTCTACCTAAAAGTTGGGTAGTGTCAAATATCTCAAACTACCTCAATAGTTCAAGCCCTAGTTCTTGAGTGAAATTTGGTCAAATAGGTAACCAAACCAAAAATCTAAGATTTGAGAGGTAAATCATGTGTTATTATAACATGTTCCATAGTACCTCAGCAGCCCCACAGAGTGGCGATTGAAGCCACCGGGCTCACAATAGCGGTTTTTGAGCTTGGGCCTACTGCCTCCCGGACCGTGCCTTGTTGAGGTGAGGCATGTGTTGTGCTTACAACCTCCTTTGTTACCATGCAGAAATCACTAATGTTGTGATCACGGCCCCCTTATTGCTATCATAGCACCAGTTCATAATAACAGGTGTTTCCCTTTTCTAAACCACAATCCATTTTGATCCTCGTAGAAAATAAGCAAATACCCACACCATACAACTAACTCAATTTAGTCCTAAGCATGCTTCCGACATCCCTCCACCATAGACAGACACAATTTTCAACAAGTATAATTAACACTTTGGAACATCATAGGCATTAGTTAAATGCATATACAGGGATAAAAAAAGAAACAACTTCATTATAATATCCTCGGTAAAATAGCAACATTCTGATGAAGTAATAACAATTAGCTTACAATCTCAATCAAATCAAATCAAGTCATCAGATTGAATTCTCACTGATTCACACACTTCTCATATAGTATCTAACATGTTCATAATATCCTATGTTGCTAGGATTCGAGCGGGGGTATCTGATATGGGTACAGATCAAGAGGTTAGATTCCTCATCATGTCCATTTTAGGATTCAGAGGTATGGATCCGAGTACGGATGCCGGTGTTGGGGTACGATCAATAACTGTATATTACGACATATAAACTATAAAGTAAATATTCAATTTTAATTGAAGTTACTAAACTAAAAGTAATAAAATTTAATTCTTTAAAAACACCTAATATTTTATTCACACGATATAGGAATGAAGTTATTCAAGACAAGGTGGGAGTGGCCCCGTGGATGACAAGATGCGGGAAGTGAGACTGAGATGGTTCGAGCATATAAAGAGGAGATGTATAGATGTTCCGGTTAGGAGGTGTGAGAGGTTGGCCATTGTGGGCCTAAGAAGGGTAGAGGTAGGCCTAAGAAGTATTGGGGTGGGGTGATTAGGTAGGATATAGCACAACTTCAGCTCACCAAGGATATGACCCTTGATAGAAGGGTGTGGAGGTCGAAGATTAGGGTAGACGGTTAGTAGGAACGCCGGCATATTTTTTTTTTCCATTCAAGTGTATTAGTATGCTTCTTCTTGTTTTTTCTTATCTTTAGATTTCTATTACTACCTGTTATCCTTTAGTCTCGATATTTTATTTTCTTGCTGCTTCTGCTTGTTAGTGCTGCCTCTTCATCATCATTCGTTCAGCAGAAGGTCTATCGAAAACAACCTCTTTACCTTCAAGGTAGGGGTAAGGTTTGTGTACACTTTACCCTCCCCAAACCCTACTTAAGGGATTACACTTGGTTTGTTGTTGATATCTCGTGTAATAGCAAAGCATTCTCAAACTTCATATAACTACATATGTATGACATAAACCCAAAAAACAAACCAAATACAATCAATCTATAATTCTTGATCATAGATGTAGTCAAATTACCCTAAGTAAGTGATCAAAATCCAGTGTGCATCTCACACCCACACTTATGTCGTGTTGACACGTGTGTGGTAGGAATTTCGAAGAGTCTCAGTACCATAGATAAACCATGATAGTAGGGTACCATACCCCTAAACTCTACAATCCAAAAGAAGGCACAAGACTTCTCATATCTTGATTTAGTTATAACTAACTTTCTTGAGATATTTTCGGTTACACTAATTGCTCTTCTCGTTTTGCATATGATAGAGGCTTAATTCATTTTGATTATTTTTTATATAATTGTGGTGTCTGACAACTTTGCGCACCTCGCTTAATTCCACAAGAATACTTGTTACCTCCTACCAACACAAGTGCCAGGTAACTCAATCCAACATGGCTTAGACAAATGGAAAAACATCAGCTGGAATTTGAACCTCAGACCCACTTCATTGATCACAACGCCACACCCTTGGGTGCTCATTTTATTTAAGCTTTGAGTAACTAAACTCATTTTCCAACAAAAAATGACCAACTAGCTTGCTAGATAATATAATTGAAAAACGAATGATAACACATTACAACACTCTTAAAATATTATTCTCTCCGGGCCAATTTATGTGGTGGAATTCGACTCAACACAAAGTTTAAGAAAAGAACTTTTGGACTTATGGCCTTGAACCTACTATGAGATTCTTATGACTAAAAAAGTATGACATTAAGAGTAAAATGAAAATTTTTAAATGAAATATTTCCAAATAAAAGGTATCATTCTTTTGGAATGGACTAATAAGAACAACGACATATAATATGTAATAGAGGGAGTATTAAAGAGTATTACAAATAATTTCTTAATAACTAGATAAGTAGTTTGAAAGATACATATGAAAAATGAATCAGAAAATATTATTATCTTTTTGTGCTTCATTGTTAAATACTTTTATTTCTTCAGATTTTTCAAAGGATTGTTGTCCAAAGATAAAAGGTGGTCAAACTAGGGAAAAGATAAGTTGTTTACCGGAAAGTTCTAAATCATATGTCTGCATGTTGTGTTCCACATAGGATCAGCATGAATACCTAAATAACCTGCCCATACACATCAGGATGAGATGGAGAAAAATAAAAGCAAGATAAGAATAACTGCCTTGTAAGAGAAGGCAATACATACAATCCAGACAAGCACATGAATTATAGATCTTACATGTCAAATTGATATCTTTGAATGGCTATTTTTTCTTGCCTAATTAATTAAGCAACACTTCAAGGATGACCCCACACATGTTCCTAAGGGGACAGGCAAGTGGTGGCTATGAATCATCACTACTGTACAATAATGTCATAAACTCGAATTTTTCATCTTGTCAACTTTAACATACAAGACTGGTAAAACTAACTTGAGATAAATTCGAAAGCATATGATGGCTAACCTAATAGTAACAATATGATTCTCAACAATGTCCCTCTTGAGATTAAAAATTATTGTTTTTAGTTTAAACAAATGCTTAATCATAAAGAATTACCTACAAAATAACCAGTTAATTTTCATGGGAAAGAAGTTGAGTCGATTAAGCCAAATTAAAATACCTTACTAATTCTGAAGAGATAACTTCAGTATGTGAAACTTTTTCTTACTTTGGCTCAACTTACAAAAGAAGGCAGCATCATAAAGCAAATCTGTCAACTAATCTAAAGTTTTAAAAAAAAAATACACATGTGCACACAAATCTTAATGACAAAATGAGTCAGCATGAGATTAGTTTACTGTAATTGACCAGACAGCTAAAAGAAGACATTTTCAATACCTTACGAGAAAAGAGAAAAAGATATAAAAGGAATTTAGAAAATAAAGGGAGTGGTTGAACATGCACTGCACTTTGATTGTTTTTAGAATATTTCAAATTTCAATCAACAAAAAGATTATTGAAGACACTCCCATCTCCCTGACAACCTTTTTCTTCTTGATACAAAAGAAAATTCTGAAAAAGCATATGCATGACCTTTTTTGGTTATTTCAGATGACCCATAGCTGACTCATGCAACAATCAGTTAAAAGATTCACCAACTCCTCTGCAAGCACCTATATATAATGCTACATGGAATGCTTTTAAACCATCAACCAAACTTAAATATTTCTCACATACCTTCAAAAATACGGTAATACTCCACCTCAAATCAGAACCACAATGAAGAACTTACTCCATGGAAATTTGGTGGGTATTCCCATGAGTTCAGCAGTATGTTCACTTGAAAGGCAGCCGAAAAGACTACTTGCCCTATCTGCTTGCGAAGACCATATCGTTCCATATGGAGCTTCAAAGAACTTGTCTCAAATAAAGCAAAGTGAGTATCCCTGGTCTCTTAAGGAAGAATCAACTTGATCTGACCCTTGAATGTAGAGATCATAAAAATAACAATATTCTTGAATATGCAGGAAAATATGGCATTGTTAAGATGAACAAATTGGGAGAAAGGATGGATTGTCTTGTACAAAGCATCCGTGAGCATGGTAAGCACTTAAATTCTCTATAAAAAACTTAAATATATTTATTGAAAATATTACTAAGATAACATTTTGTTCAAGTCGAAAAATAAGTATTTGAACTTGAAGTTGAAAGGGGTATTTGGGAATTGAAATTGTGTCCGGACATGAGTTCCGTTTGAAAAAAAAAAAGTTTTAAGCGAAAACAATTATCTCACTCAAAAATGCTACTCAGACAAGTTAATTCCATACTATACCAGTCTTACAAATGCTAAAACATTCGCCAACTGCGAATACTGATGGACAAACTTCACCTTAAGTATTTGCAAGTGATGTCATGACCAAACACTAGTGTAAATCTAAAGAACTCAGAGAAGTGAGTCATGAAGTACAAAATTCATGCAAGAAGCACATGCATACATGATAGAAAACATTGATTTTAAATGTACTCTAATTGTGCAGTGAGCCTAAGCGCGAAACTAACAGAAACTTTAAAGGGAAAATTGAGCCTTGGAGCAAAAATTCTTCAAGTAGGAGGGTTGAAGAAAATATTCAGGCAGAAGTTCAGTGTTAGAGATGATGAAAAGCTATTGAAAGTTTGTCAATGCTATTTATCAACTACAGCTGGTCCAATAGCAGGCCTTCTCTTCATCTCTACCGATAAGATTGCTTTCTGCAGTGAGAGATCAATAAAGCTCTCATCTCCAACTGAAAAGTTGCTTAGAATCTACTATAAGGTACCACTCTGCTCCGTTTGTCTTTCAACTCTTAATTTTCTAACCACGTAAAGCATAATCTAACTGGTTCACAATGGCAGGTATCAATCCCAGTAAGTAAGATAATGAAAGCAAAAGAGAGCAAGAATATGCAAAAGCCATCACACAAGTATATACAAGTAATTACAGAGGATGATTTTGAGTTCTGGTTTATGGGATTTCTCAATCATCAAAAGACACTAAGGTATCTGCAGCAGGCAATCTCCAGCTCAAGCAAGTTATGAAGACAACATTTTTTCCTTTGTTCATTTTTTTTCCAATGAGCTCATTCTTCAATATAAAACATTCATGCAAAAACGAAGTCAGGGATCTGTTAAAACTTTGTAACTAGATCCATTGCTCAAAGGAAGCTTTAGGTTTAAGCTTTGTGCCCTTATGAGTTAATGGGAATGTACAGACTTTTTTTTTGAAACTGGTAGCTTTTGTATAGACTTATTTTCTTTTTTGAGAAAGCAAGAGATACAAATGTATAAATTTATTATAAAACTTGTGCAGATAGATTGGTTTTTTTTGTAGATTCATTTATCTTTCTACTTGTCCTTAGAGTAGACTTTATGACCCAAGTGGTAGATATGAAAACAAGAACAATATGCTAGTTATAGAATTAGCATTTTAGATTGTTTATATGCAAATTTAATACTGCATTCACAAGCTTTGCTGCCTTCAAGTTCTTTTAGTATCCTTGAGATAAGAAAAGGTGTAGCCATTCTCACAATGGAATGCTACCCATTCATGAAAAGTGAACTGGTATCAGCGTCCATAAAATGATGAACCAGCCAATTTGAAATACTAAAATTGGCAGTGTGTTTAACTTCTCTGCATTTTACACTATCAAGTTACATAAATGATAACCACAGGTAACTGTATTAAAAAGGTGGATTTAGTAACCTGAAAATCTGGGCAAGTTACCTGCTACAAGACGTTAATATACACTGTCAATGTAAAGGCAACTTACCTACTATAACATGCTAAAATACACTATCAATGTGAAAAAAATGTTATATCATCACTAATATACACTTGGTTTGTTGTTGATATCTCAGGTAATAGCAAAGCATTCTCAAACTTCATATTACTACATATTTATGACATAAACCCAAAAAACAAACCAAATACAATCAATCTATACTTCTTGATCATAGATGTAGTCAAAGCACCCTAAGTAAGTGATCAAAATCCGGTGTGGATCTCACACCCACACTTATGTCGTGTTGACACGTGTGTGGTAGGAATTTCGAAGAGTCTCAGTACCATAGATAAACTATGATAGTAGGGTACCATACCCCTAAACTCTACAATCCAAAAGAAGGCACAAGACTTCTCATAGCTTGATTTAGTTATAACTAACTTTCTTGAGATATTTTCGGTAACACTAATTGCTCTTCTCGTTTCGGATATGATAGACGCTTAATTCATTTTCATTTCTTTTATATAATTGTGGTGTCTGACCACTTTGTGCACCTCGCTTAATTCCACAAGAATACTTGTTACCTCCTACCAACACAAGTACCAGGTAACTCAATCCAACATGGCATAGACAAATGGAAAAACATCCACTGGAATTTTAACCTCAGACCTCATGGTCCTGAAAACTCACTTCATTGATCACAACGCCACACCCTTGGGTGCTCATTTTATTTAAGCTTTGCGTAACTAAACTCATTTCCCAACAAAAATTGACCAAATAGCTTGCTAGATAATATAATTGAAAAACGAATGAAAACACATTACAACACTCTTAAAATATTATTCTCTCCGGGCCAATTTATGTGGTGGAATTCGACTCAACACGAAGTTTAAGAAAAGAACTTTTGGACTTATGGCCTTGAACCTACCATGAGATTCTTGTGACTAAAAAAGTATGACATTAAGGGTAAAATGAAAAATTTTAAATGAAATATTTCCAAGTAAAAGGTATCATTCTTTTGGAATGGACTAATAAAAACAATGACATATAATATGTAATAGAGGGAGTATTAAAGAGTATTACAAATAATTTCTTAATAACTAGATAAGTAGTTTGAAAGAAACACATGAAAAATGAATCAAAAAATATTATTATCTTTTTATGCTTCAATTGTTAAAATACTTTATTTCTTTAGATTTTTCAAAGGATTGCTGTCCAAAGATAAAAGATGGTCAAACTAGGGAAAAGATAAGTTAGTTTACCAGAAAGTTCAAAATCATATGTCTGCGTGTTGTGCTCCACATAGGATCAGCATGAATGCCTACATAACCTGCCCATACACATCAGGATGAGATGGATAAAAATAAAGAAAGATAAGAATAACTGCCTTGTAAGAGAAGGCAATACATACAATCCAGACAAGCACATGAATTATAGATCTTACATGTCAAATTGAGATCTTTGAATGGCTATTTTTCCTTGCCTAATTAATTAAGCAACACTTCAAGGATGACCCTCACATGTTCCTAAGGGGACAGGCAAGTGGTGGCTATGAATCATCACTACTGTATGTACAATAATGTCATAAATTCAAATTTTTCACCTTGTCAACTTTAACACACAAGACTGGTAAAACTAACTTGAGAAAAATTCGAAAGCATATGACGGCTAACCTAATAGTAACAATATGATTCTCAACAATGTCCCTCTTGAGATTAAGAACAATTGTTTTTAGTTTAAACAACTGCTTAATCATAAAGAATTACCTACAAAATAACCAGTTAATTTTCATGGGAACGAAGTTGAGTCGATTAAGCCAAATTAAACTACCTTACTAGTTCGGAAGAGATAACTTCAATATGTGAAACTTTCTCTTACTTTGGCTCAACTTACAAAAGAAGGCAGCATCATAAAGCAAATCTGTCAACTAATCTAAAGTTATAAAAAAAAAAAATACACATGTGCACACAAATCTTAATGACAATGAGTCAGCATGAGATTAGTTTACTGTAATTGACCAGACAGCTAAAAGAAGACATTTTCAATACCTTACGAGAAAAGAGAAAAAGATATAAAAGGAATTTAGAAAATAAAGGGAGTGGTTGAACATGCACTGCACTTTGATTGTTTTTAGAATATTTCAAATTTCAATCAACAAAAAGATTATTGAAGACACTCCCATCTCCCTGACAACCTTTTTCTTCTTGATACAAAAGAAAATTCTGAAAAAGCATATGCATGACCTTTTTTGGTTATTTCAGATGACCCATAGCTGACTCATGCAACAATCAGTTAAAAGATTCACCAACTCCTCTGCAAGCACCTATATATAATGCTACATGGAATGCTTTTAAACCATCAACCAAACTTAAATATTTCTCACATACCTTCAAAATACGGTAATACTCCACCTCAAATCAGAACCACAATGAAGAACTTACTCCGTGGAAATTTGGTGGGTATTCCCATGAGTACAACAATATGTTCACTTGAAAGGCAGCCGAAAAAACTATTTGCCCTATCTGCTTGCGAAGACCATATCGTTCCATATGCAACTTTAAAGAACTTGTCTCAAATTAAGCAAAGTGAGTGTTTCCCTGGTCCCTTAAGGAAGAATCAACTTGATCTGACCCTTGAATGTAGAGATCATAAAAATAACAATATTCTTGAATATGCAGGAAAATATGTCATTGGTAAGATTAACAAATTGGGAGAAAGGGTGGATTGTCTTGTACAAAGCATCCGTGAGCATGGTAAGCACTTAAGTTCGCTACAAAAAACTTAAATATATTTATTGAAAATATTACTAAGATAATATTATGTTCAAGTCGGAAAATAAGTATTTGAACTTGGAGTTGAAAGGAGTATTTGGGAATTGAAATTGTGTCTGGACATGAATTTTGTTTGAAAAAAAAGTTTGTAAGCGAAAACAATTATCTCACACAAAAATACTACTCAGACAAGTTAATTCAATACTACACCTGTCTTTCAAATGCTAAAATCACCAACTGTGAATACTGATGGACAAACTTTACCTCAAGTATTTGCAAGTGATGTCATGACCAAACACTATTGTAAATCTAAAGAACTCAGAGAAGTGAGTCATAAAGTAAAAAATTCATGCAAGAAACACATGTATACATGATAGAAAGCATTGATTTTAAATGTACTCTAATTGTGCAGTGAGCCTAAGCCCGAAACTAACAGAAACTTTAAAGGGAAAATTGAGCCTTGGAGCAAAAATTCTTCAAGTAGGAGGGTTGGAGAAAATATTCAGGCAGAAGTTCAGTCTTAGAGATGATGAAAAGCTATTGAAAGTTTGTCAATGCTATTTATCAACTACAGCTGGTCCAATAGCAGGCCTTCTCTTCATCTCTACCGCTAAGATTGCTTTCTGCAGTGAGAGATCAATAAAGCTCTTATCTCCAACTGAAAAGTTGCTTAGAACTTACTATAAGGTACCACTCTGCTCCGTTTGTCTTTCAACTCTTAATTTTCTAACCATGTAAAGCATAATCTAACTGGTTCACAATGGCAGGTATCAATCCCAATAAGTAAGCTACTGAAAGCAAAGGAGAGCAAGAATATGCAAAAGCCATCACAGAAGTATATACAAGTAATTACAGAGGATGATTTTGAGTTCTGGTTTATGGGATTTCTCAATCATCAAAAGACACTGAGATATCTGCAGCAGGCAATCTCCAGCTCAAGGAAGTTATGAAGACAACATTTTTTCCTTTTGTTCATTTCTTTTCCAAGGAGCTCGTTCTTCAATGTAAAACGTTCATGCAAAAACGAACTCAGGGATCTGTTAAAACTTTGTAACTAGATCCATTGCTCAAAGGAGGCTTTAGGTTTAAGCTTTGTGCCCTTATGAGTTAATGGGAATGTACAGACTTTTTTTTTTAGATACGAATGTATAAATTTATTATAAAACTTGTGCAGATAGATTGGTTTTTTTTGTAGATTCATTTATCTTTCTACTTGTCCTTAGAGTAGACTTTATGACCCAAGTGGTAGATACGAAAACAAGAACAATATGCTAGTTATAGAATTAGCATTTTAGATTGTTTATATGCAAATTTAATACTGCATTCACAAGCTTTGCTGCCTACAAGTTCTTTAAGTACGATATATAGTGTCTTCAAATTATTTATCTTTTGGATAAAATGAAATAAGATATAAAATCTGCAGTTGTGAAGTCAGTTTGAGGGATATTTCCCTGTTGTAATTCAATATGCTGAGGCCGGAAACCACACTATATCAATTTAAGAATCTAAGTGATCATCATCATTTTTCTGGTCTGTAGTTCCTCACACCTTGAGATAAGAAAAGGTGTAGCCATTCTCACAATGGAATGCTACCCATTCATGAAAAGTGAACTGGTATCAGCGTCCATAAAATGATGAACCAGCCAATTTGAAATACTAAAATTGGCAGTGTGTTTAACTTCTCTGCATTTTACACTATCAAGTTACATAAATGATAACCACAGGTAACTGTTTAAAAAAGGTGGATTTAGTAACCTGAAAATCTGGGCAAGTTGCCTGCTACAAGACATTAATATACACTGTCAATGTAAAGGCAACTTACCTACTATAACATGCTAAAATACACTATCAACGTGAAAAAAAAATGTTATACCGTCACTAAAATACACTTGGTTTGTTGTTGATATCTCGTGTAATAGCAAAACATTCTCAAACTTCATATTACTACATATTTATGACATAAACCCAAAAAACAAACCAAATACAATCAATCTATACTTCTTGATCATAGATGTAGTCAAAGCACCCTAAGTAAGTGATCAAAATCCGGTGTGGATCTCACACCCACACTTTTGTCGTGTTGACACGTGTGTGGTAGGAATTTTGAAGAGTCTGAGTACTATAGATAAACCATGATAGTAGAGTACCATACCCCTAAACTCAACATCCAAAAGAAGGCACAAGACTTCTCATATCTTGATTTAGTTACAACTAACTTTCTTGAGATATTTTCGGTAACACTAATTGCTCTTCTCGTTTTGCACCTGATAGAGGCTTAATTCATTTTGATTTTTCTTATAATTGTGGTGTCTGACCACTTTGCGCACCTCGCTTAATTCCACAAGACTACTTGTTACCTCCTACCAACACAAGTGCTAGGTAACTCAACCCAATATGGCTTAGACAAATGGAAAAACATCAGCTGGAATTTGAACCTCAGACCCACTTCATTGATCACAACGCCACACCCTTGGGTACTCATTTAAGCTTTATGTAACTAAACTCATTTTCCAACAAAAATTGGCCAACTAGCTTGCTAGATAATATAATTGAAAAACGAATGAAAACACATTACAACGCTCTTAAAATATTATTCTCTCAGGGCCAATTTATGTGGTGGAATTCGACTCAACACAAAGTTTAAGAAAAGAACTTTTGGACTTATGGCCTTGAACCTACCATGAGATTCTTGTGACTAAAAAAGTATGACATTAAGGGTAAAATGAAAAAATTTAAATGAAATATTTCTAAATAAAAGGTATCATTCTTTTGGAATGGACTAATAAGAACTATGACATATAATAAGTAATAGAGGGAGTATTAAAGAGTATTACAAATAATTTCTTAATAACCAGATAAGAAGTTTGAAAGATACACATGAAAAATGAATCAAAAAATATTATTATCTTTTTATGCTTCATTGTTAAATACTTTTATTTCTTTAGATTTTTCAAAGGATTGTTGTCCAAAGATAAAAGATGGTCAAACTAGGGAAAAGATAAGTTAGTTTACCGGAAAGTTCTAAATCATATGTCTGCGTGTTGTGCTCCACATAGGATCAGCATGAATGCCTACATAACCTGCCCATACACATCAGGATGAGATGGAGAAAAATAAAGCAAGATAAGAATAACTGCCTTGTAAGAGAAGGCAATACATACAATCCAGACAAGAACATGAATTATAGATCTTACATATCAAATTGAGATCTTTGAATGGCTATTATTCCTTGCCTAATTAATTAAGCAACACTTCAAGGATGACCCACACATGTTCCTAAGGGGACAGGCAAGTGGTGGCTATGAATCATCACTACTGTACAGTGTACAATAATGTCATTAAATTCATATTTTTCATCTTGTCAACTTTAACACACAAGACTGGTAAAACTAACTTGAGATAAATCCGAAAGCATACTAGCCTAATAGTAACAATATGATTCTCAACAATGTTCCTCTTGAGGTTAAAAACTATTGTTTTTAGTTTAAACAAATGCTCAATCATAAAGAATTACCTATAAAATAACCAGTTAATTTTCATGGGAAAGAAGTTGAGTCGATTAAGCCAAATTAAACTACCTTACTAATTCTGAAGAGATAACTTCAGTATGTGAAACTTTCTCTTACTTTGGCTCAACTTACAAAAGAAGGTAGCATCATAAAGCAAATCTGTCAACTAATCTAAAGTTTTAAAAAAAAAAAACACATGTGCACACAAATCTTAATGACAAAATGAGTCAGCATGAGATTAGCTTACTGTAATTGACCAGACAGCTAAAAGAAGACATTTTCAATACCTTATGAGCAAAGAGAAAAAGATATAAAAGGAATTTAGAAAATAAAGGGAGTGGTTGAACATGCACTGCACTTTAATTGTTTTTAGAATATTTCAAATTTCAATCAACAAAAAGATTATTGAAGACACTCCCATCTCCCTGACAACCTTTTTCTTCTTGATACAAAAGAAAATTCTGAAAAAGCATATGCATGACCTTTTTTGGTTATTTCAGATGACCCATAGCTGACTCATGCAACAATCAGTTAAAAGATTCACCAACTCCTCTGCAAGCACCTATATATAATGCTACATGGAATGCTTTTAAACCATCAACCAAACTTAAATATTTCTCACATACCTTCACAATACGGTAATACTCCACCCCAAATCAGAATCACAATGAAGAACTTACTTCGTGGAAATTTGGTGGGTATTCCCATGAGTTCAGCAGTATGTTCACTTGGAAGGCAGCAGAAAAGACTTCTTGCCCTATCTGCTTGCGAAGACCATATCGTTCCATATGGAACTTCAAAGAACTTGTCTCAAATAAAGCAAAGTGAGTATCCCTGGTCTCTTAAGGAAGAATCAACTTGATCTGACCCTTGAATGTAGAGATCATAACAATAAAAATATTCTTGAATATGCAGGAAAATATGTCATTGGTAAGATGAACAAATTGGGAGAAAGGGTGGATTGTCTTGTACAAAGCATCCATGAGCATGGTAAGCACTTAAGTTCGCTACAAAAAACTTAAATATATTTATTGAAAATATTACTAAGATAATATTATGTTCAAGTCGAAAAATAAGTATTTGAAGTTGAAGTTGAAAGGAGTATTTGGGAATTGAAATTGTGTCTGGACATGAATTCTGTTTGAAAAAAAAGTTTGTAAGTGAAAACAATTATCTCACTCAAAAATACTACTCAGACAAGTTAATTCAATACTACACCTGTCTTTCAAATGCTAAAATCACCAACTGTGAATACTGATGGACAAACTTTACCTCAAGTATTTGCAAGTGCTGTCATGACCAAACACTAGTGTAAATCTAAAGAACTCAGAGAAGTGAGTCATAAAGTACAAAATTCATGCAAGAAACACATGTATACATGATAAAAAGCATTGATTTTAAATGTCCTCTAATTGTGCAGTGAGCCTAAGCCTGAAACTAACAGAAACTTTAAAGGGAAAACTGAGCCTTGGAGCAAAAATTCTTCAAGTAGGAGGTTTGGAGAAAATATTCAGGCAGAAGTTCAGTGTTAGAGATGATGAAAAGCTATTGAAAGTTTGTCAATGCTATTTATCAACTACAGCTGGTCCAATAGCAGGCCTTCTCTTCATCTCTACCAATAAGATTGCTTTCTGCAGTGAGAGATCAATAAAGCTCTTATCTCCAACTGAAAAGTTGCTTAGAATCTACTATAAGGTACCACTCTGCTCCGTTTGTCTTTCAACTCTTAATTTTCTAACCATGTAAAGCATAATCTAACTGGTTCACAATGGCAGGTATCAATCCCAATAAGTAAGATAATGAAAGCAAAGGAGAGCAAGAATATGCAAAAGCCATCACAGAAGTATATACAAGTAATTACAGAGGATGATTTTGAGTTCTGGTTTATGGGATTTCTCAATCATCAAAAGACACTGAGATATCTGCAGCAGGCAATCTCCAGCTCAAGGAAGTTATGAAGACAACATTTTTTCCTTTTGTTCATTTTTTTTCCAATGAGCTCATTCTTCAATATAAAACATTCATGCAAAAACGAATTCAGGGATCTGTTAAACTTTGTAACTAGATCCATTGCTCAAAGGAGGCTTTACGTTTAACCTTTGTGCCCTTATGAGTTAATGGGAATGTATAGACTTTTTTTTTTTTTGAAACTGGTAGCTTTTGTATAGACTTATTTTCTTTTTTGAGATAGCAAGAGATGCGAATGTATAAATTTATTATAAGACTTGTGCAGATAGATTGGTTTTCTTTGTAGATTCATTTAGCTTTCTACTTGTCCTTAGAGTAGACTTTATGACCCAAGTGGTAGATATGAAAACAAGAACAATATGCTAGTTATAGGATTAGCATTTTAGATTGTTTATACGCAAATTTAATACTGCATTCACAAGCTTTGCTGCCTTCAAGTTTTTTTTAGTATGATATAGTGTCTTCAAATTATTTATCTTTTGGATAAAATGAAATAAGATATAAAATCTGCAGTTGAAATTGTGAAGTCAGTTTGAGGGATATTTCCATGTTGTAATTCAATATGCTGAGGCCGGAAACCACACTATATCAATTTAAGAATCTAAGTGATCATCATCATTTTTCTGGTCTGTAGTTTCCTCACACCTTGAGATAAGAAAAGGTGTAGCCATTCTCACAATGGAATGCTACCCATTCATGAAAAGTGAACTGGTATCATCGTCTAGAAAATGATGAACCAGCCAATTTGAAATACTAAAATTGGCAGTGTGTTTAACTTCTCTGCATTTTACACTATCAAGTTACATAAATGATAACCACAGGTAACTGTTTAAAAAAGGTGGATTTAGTAACCTGAAAATCTGGGCAAGTTACCTGCTACAAGACGTTAATATACACTGTCAATGTAAAGGCAACTTACCTACTATAACATGCTAAAATACACTATCAACATGAAAAAAAATGTTGTACCGTCACTAAAATACACTTGGTTTGTTGTTGATATCTCGTGTAATAGCAAAACATTCTCAAACTTCATATTACTACATATTTATGACATAAACCCAAAAAACAAACCAAATACAATCAATCTATACTTCTTGATCATAGATGTAGTCAAAGCACCCTAAGTAAGTGATCAAAATCCGGTGTGGATCTCACACCCACACTTTTGTCGTGTTGACACGTGTGTGGTAGGAATTTTGAAGAGTCTGAGTACTATAGATAAACCATGATAGTAGAGTACCATACCCCTAAACTCAACATCCAAAAGAAGGCACAAGACTTCTCATATCTTGATTTAGTTACAACTAACTTTCTTGAGATATTTTCGGTAACACTAATTGCTCTTCTCGTTTCGGATATGATAGACGCTTAATTCATTTTCATTTCTTTTATATAATTGTGGTGTCTGACCACTTTGCGCACCTCGCTTAATTCCACAAGACTACTTGTTACCTCCTACCAACACAAGTGCTAGGTAACTCAACCCAATATGGCTTAGACAAATGGAAAAACATCAGCTGGAATTTGAACCTCAGACCCACTTCATTGATCACAACGCCACACCCTTGGGTGCTCATTTTATTTAAGCTTTGAGTAACTAAACTCATTTTCCAACAAAAAATGACCAACTAGCTTGCTAGATAATATAATTGAAAAACGAATGAAAACACATTACAACGCTCTTAAAATATTATTCTCTCAGGGCCAATTTATGTGGTGGAATTCGACTCAACACAAAGTTTAAGAAAAGAACTTTTGGACTTATGGCCTTGAACCTACCATGAGATTCTTGTGACTAAAAAAGTATGACATTAAGGGTAAAATGAAAAAATTTAAATGAAATATTTCTAAATAAAAGGTATCATTCTTTTGGAATGGACTAATAA